AATTGAAATGACAGTAATACAAGTTGGAATGTGGCAACTTTCTGAATCCAGATTCAATCATTTCTTTTATTAAACCCAAAGTACCTGTACCATCTCAGAACTATTGAAAAAGAGGGTTCCTTTTAAACAATTCTGAAAATGGTCCTTTGCATAAAAGATATTGAACCCTTCCTCAGCCTTCACGCTTAACTTTTGAGTCCACAAGCCAGAAGCTCAATTTTTTGAAAATTTTAGTTGGATTCTGTTGGCTTGTAGAGAAATACTTTACAAGCCAATGCCGTAGGACTTGTGGTTAAGCGTGAAGTCTGCTCTCTCCCCCAAACCACTGCTATCAATATAACAAAACAGAACAAATATTGTCTTCTTCTTCAAAATTCACAACTCTCAACATTTGTTAGAATCCTGTTAAAAAGCAAAAATGAGTAAATGAGAACATTGAATATTGGACAACAATTTCAATTTTACATACAAGCTTTCTAATCCTGTCAAGTACTAAATCTACAATTTCTTTCCCAATGGTGTAATGACCTCTTGCATAATTATTAGCTGCATCCTCCTTTCCAGTAATAAGTTGTTCTGGGTGGAAAAGCTGACGATAGGTTCCTGTACGGACCTCATCTGTTAAAATATAAATTTGGTTATGGATATTAGTGTCAGATTTGAAGATTAAAGACTTTTCACAATTAGGGTTTTAGCATCCAATACCATGGTGTGTTTTATATTTTCCATAGCACTGATCAAGTCCTTGATAATACTTATTGGCAAATTGTGTTATTAAAGTTTCTGTATTATGTTTATTTGATAAAGCACTTTATTGTTACTATTATGGCTTTGTAATCAGTCCCCTTTGATAAAACCAAAGTCACCAACAATAATAAAAGAACAGAGTTCCAATGTTCCCCGCATTGCACATTTTTTATCTGTCAAAGAGCAATAACTTAATTAAAAGGAATATTTTTGTTTATTCTTTAAAACTTTTTATAAATTATAAATATCTTTAAAGAAATGTACATGTAGGCTTAAAAGCTTAAAAGCACTTACAATGCAATTTTCTGTACACTTATAATATTTCCAAGGGGTGCAACTCTTTTTAAAAATAGTTGATCGGCACTGAATTTCAAAATTGTTTGAGGCATTGCTAATATAAACTTTTGATGTAAGTTTAATAAAAATCTGGCATGTGAGAGTGCTTACAAGACCAGACAGACAGATGATCGGTATTTCAATGCCTCCCCCCTCCCAAAAAAAAAATATATTAACTTGTTCTCTACCTCCAAAAACTTAACAAGTGTCCAAGGCGTGAAGCTCTGCTATTTAGAATAAAAGTACTTTTGAATGGAATCAAAAGTTTATCAGATATTCACTCATGCTCATCATAATCTAAAGCAGATACATATTTGCAGAAAACGGTGATCAGATGCTTTGTGCTCTCTTGAATTATTATATCTTTAAATCATGATAATCTTGTTTAAAAAATATTAAATGACTTAAATTTCATTTTTAAACTTGTCAAAAATTGTATGCCAATAAAAAAGGAAATCATAAATTATTTTGGTAAACAAGTTACTGAAGATCTGGTAATGTCGTGATTACTTAAGAAAAATAATATCATACCTACATTTTATCTATGTGGGATATAATCCAACTAGGGTCAGGTTACCAGAACCAAACAATTTATTCTAAATGATTCAATGATATTTATTTTTTAGGTACCATATTCTTAAATACAAGATTATAATTATACTGTCTTGCTGTTCTTTTCATGTTGTTTTTGTATGCATCAATCACTCATTTGTAAATTGTAGTAAACTTACCGACAACAGTTGGTTCTAAATCAACAAATACAGCCCTAGGGACATGTTTGCCTGCTCCTGTTTCACTGAAGAAAGTGTTGAAGGAGTCATCACCACCACCAATGGTCTTGTCACTTGGCATCTGACCATCAGGCTGGATACCATGTTCAAGACAGTACAATTCCCAGCAGGCATTACCAATTTGGACCCCAGCTTGTCCCACATGAATGGAAATACACTCTCGCTGAAAAATAAAATTGAGGATGCACAAGATTTACAGACTCAAGTAAAAAGATTAGCAGGGTTACTTAAAAACATGTTTTTTTTATGTTGTTCTCTGCAGGTGGCTTATTTGTGGCAGTGCAATCCCAGGGGATGCCAAAGTTTGTTGGATTGTTTGGCTCTCATTTATAGTTCAGCTGGAGGAGTTACTTGGGGATGGTGCTTAACAGTCATACAAGTCAATGTGATGTTGTTTTAGTGAACCCTGAAATTTAGATACAATCTGAGTAAACTTATTCTAAAAGGTTACCAATTCAACATTGTAACTATTATATCTTTGAGTATTGTTTTTATTGGTATAAATATTGATTTTGTTATCAGTAAATTAAAACTCTACTATAAATATTATTGTTATACACATATGCACAGTCACAGTTCTACTATCTATACCTATATTTTGGCATTGCACAAGGTCATGTTTTTTCTGTTAATGAAATCTTTTATATACACTAAATTCAATGGATATGTATTGATTGATAGTTTAGTCTGTAGATACATGCTTTTTTATCAGTTGTTATTGCTTTGAACTAGCTGTCAGTAACTTTGAGTACTCTCAGATATGTACTGTGTCTTTTTTGTTGTGGGGATGTATAAATTCCATCACATCCGGTCTGTGTTTAATTTAATTGATTTTCTATGCTTTGTATCAATCTGATGAGTTAATCCCCTTTAAACTGATTATTATAGTTTGTTTTTATGTTGTACTGTTACACCACTGTCCAAGGTTTATAGGAGGGTTTATCGCCAGCAAACATATTTAACCCTGCCACATTCTGTATGCGTCTTTCCCAATTCAGGAGCCTGTAATCTAGTGGTTGTCATTTGTTGCTGTATATCATTATCATATTTGTTTTTTCATTTATTGTTTTGTACATAAATCAGGCTGTTAATAAAATTGTTTATATTTTTTGACATTTGTCATTTCGGGGTCTTTTAAAGCTTACTTTGCGCTATGTGTTTGGCTCTGTATCCCCAGGCTTTGAGAAATCAACTGGACATTTGATCAAGTAAAATGTTCTTCTTATCTGGACAAGACTTTTTTTACAGGACAATCACACATATGAATGATTTGGACAAAAGTTAAAATTTTGTACTGGTCATGACTCATTTGGTCTAGTAATGCATTTCACTTAACTGGTCTTAGCCCAATGTCCACTGACCTTGGGAATGACCGTTTTGCTCATTGTTGATGGCGATACAGTGACCTACTGTTGTAAACTTCTATGTCATTTAGTCTCTGGTGGAGAGTTGTCTCATTGGCAATCATACCACATCTTATTACATATACTACAAGTAGGATTATTAGTGTGAATTAAAAAAGAATGCAGAGGGCCATTTATACTTTGTTTCTTAGCTGGAGGAGACACCAGTAGGGGATGGTGCTTAAGAATCTTATGAATATGAATCTATGATTTCCCCAAGGCTATACCAGCTAAGCAAGAAAATAAAACAATACAGAAATTAAAGGAAAAACTATAAATAAATAAATGATGTTCTAATAGAATATTTACACTTGTATGCAAATTTGTCGGCCATTACTTAAAACTGCTCAAAGCACTTTTGAGTTATTGTCCGAAAACTGGAAAATCCCCCCTTTTTTTAAGAATAAAATTCCACAACTCAGAAACTTAAAATCTAAAATTTATAAAAACCGAAAGGGAGCTTAATACGTCAATAGATATAAACGATCACCAAAGTTTCATGAAAACTGCTCAAAGCACTTTTGAGTTATTGGCCGAAAACTGGAAAATCCCCCTTTTTTAATGAATAAAAGCCCATAACTCAGAAATGTAAAATCCAAAATTTATAAAACTCAGAAGGGAGCTAACATCACCACAGTTTCATGCAAATTGGTTAAAGCGATTTTGAGTTATTGTCCGACATGTTGACGACAGACAGACAAGGTAACAGACAAAAACAGTTTTAAATTATTACAATATTGTTATTATTTGATGCATACTTTGATCATTTTTCAATAAAAAATATATTAAGTATGCAGAACTGTGATAAATAAATTACTTTTAGTTTATTTAAATTATTTCCTGTATTATATGAAAAAAAACACAAGAAATTTATTCTGGCTTCAATATATAGTCATAGACATTTCTAAGAGATCTACACTTCCAGAGACAAAACTAGTGAATTAATTTATATATATTGTCTTTAACTGTTTAATTAAGACATAACCAATAAAGACACACTTTAAAACCATATATAATTACACCAGGTATGAAACGTCTCAGTTACGAATCGACCTAGTTACGAAACGACCAGGTTACGAAACGACTAGCATTCGTAGCGATAAGTGAACACAACAGGGGTCCAGTTTAATTTGGACCTGTGGGCCAGGTGATCTATAAATTTGTAATCCCATGTATTACGAAATATATAGGGATCCAAAAGATGTAATATACTTCTAAACTGTAGTGTACACAAAGTTAAATGAAAAGTACCGATCATGCTCTTTTCAATATTATAAGACATTACGACCGAACGTTTTTACTTCTATATATACAAAAACTTGCCTAATAGTAAAAAAGATAAATATTTGACTGTAGGTTAAATATAGCAGTACGGGTTATAAACAAATATACTGAATCCAATAATACATTACCATTTTTCTTATAGTTGACTCAAAGAATTGCCGTCAGTGCAACGTTGACTACAAATTCAAAGTGACTGACGCTCAAACGTTGGCCAGCATTTATATACAACTACGTCACCAATCGCACGTGCCACCAAGGTGAAATGACAAACTACATATAAATATAGAACAACCTGTTATCTTAATTATTTATAGTACATAGTTCTTAGCCAAATATTATCTGGAATATATTAACATGATCATGTAAGAAATTCGTCTGCTAGTTTTTCTCCGGAAAAAGACGATTGACGGAAAGTGCCGACCACATGACATCAACCGGATGTAGGAAATGAAGCGCCACCATAATCAACATCGTTAATGAAAATCTGAAAATCCAGACTAAATCAGTTTAACAGTTGATAAAAGGCTTTTAATACCCCAACAAGATTTGACAGCCAGTTGAAATAACTGTAATTACCGTAAATAATTCAGAGATAAGACAAAGAAAGTTCTGTCTTAGTTAAGTTACGAGAAAAACGAGTGATCTAACTTCTTAGACTCCTCAGTCTCCTGTGCCTTAGTCCAAATAATTATGACGTCTTGAAAGGCTATTATATTTGTTTTCTTTGACGCCTTACATCGCAGGAAGGCGTCAAAGCAAACATTTAAAATAGCCTTCCAAGACGTCATAATTATTTGGACTACCTGTGCCTATGGTCTCAACTCTGTTGTCATTCGATTTACATCATACATGAATCCAGTATCAGAGACAGACAGGTGCTACCAAATGAGTGCAAAGAGAGTTGTCCACATGTCAGATACAAGCCTGTCATTGTCTACATGCATTTAAGAAAAGAAAACTATACCACATACAGTGATACACATTAAAACTAAAGACGTATTTACACTTGTATGCAAATTTGTCCGCCATTACTTAAAATCACACAGGTTCCCGTAAACTTTGACATCATAATTCAAAACATTTGACATCACAATTAAAAATTGATTGTTGCCTGACGTCAAAAGGTGATTTGGAGTAGATCTAAGGTCATTCGGAGGCAAAATATAGCTAAATACCAAAAGTGTAAATACGTTTATTTTCAGATAAGAAGATGTGGTAGCGTGTAAGCCTCAATTGTGAGAGGTTGTGGGTTTGAACACGGGCCAGGTCAAAGGAAATATTTTAAATTGGTATTTGCTGCTTCTCCACTTAAGCATACTGCACTAAGGAGTAAAAACAAAGACTGGTCGGCTCGGAGTCGGAATAATGTATACGGTAAGGTGACATGTCTTCCTGTGGACTGTTGCCTTGTGAACTAACATGTTAAAAATCCAATTCCGCGTGTTGGTCTAGTACAAAACAAGGTTAATATTCACAAGGTCTCATCCTGAATATGCATATTAATTTGCTGCTGGACATTAAGCAGTCATCCATTATCATCATCATAAACAACAACTTGAGATTGGTGTATTAGACAACTCTCCACGAGAGACCAAATGACGTAGAAGTAAACAACTATAGGTCACCATTCAGCCTTCAACCGTGAGCTAAATCTATATCATGTAGTATGCAATAAAAGGCAGTGAAATGACCACTGAATTAGAGGCCCTTGGCTTTGGATTAATCATGTTTTTGAGTGCTCAAGCCTCCCACTAACCATGGATAGTGGTGTAACAATACAACATATTAACAACTTCATTACTTGTACAACTCACTTGGAAAGGGCTGAACTTATCAGATTGGGAGTCCCTGACCATTTGAGCACAAAAACAAACAAAAGACGCAAAGTACTGATCTAAAAGATCTCAGTTAATGAAAGCTATATTGTACAGGGTTGTGGAAATATTTTTTGTGACCAGTTGTCCCCAGGCAAGTGAAATTGTAAATTTGACTTGTCCGGAAGTAAAGTTACTTGCCCTGATTTCTTAATGAACAATGATGAATTTTGGAATGAAGAAAACGTATTTAACTGTAAACGTGTATGTTTCTAAAACACTTGAACACCATGAAAATGGTATTCATGGTCTTTGTTTGTATGTTAGAATGATAAAAAGATAAGTAGAGTATACATCGTTGAGATAAAAACCACCCAAAAAAACAACTTTAAACTAAAGAATCTAGAGGCCAATTTTGCAATGTTTTTTTATGTTAGCTTACTTGATCATGACATATTTTCTTAACTGTGAGTCTGTGCAAAGCTTTAAAGTTAATGAAGAGATGAACTCCAAATACTTGATGAATTGTTGTTTGCATCCACCCACCCTTTCCCCTTCCCCCAAAAAAGCTTTTGGTAGGCCAATTGTAAAATGAGAATTTGTTTAGATAACTAAGCGAAATTAAAACATTATAGAACTTTAAAATCCTCTATTCAGTTTATTTTAATACTATTTGTCCATTGCCGCTTCTGATTTCCGTTTCTAGTAAAAACCAAGGCGCCTCTTCTCCTTTGGTCAACATCTGAGCGATGACCTATCTAAAGATGCTTATCCAACTCAACTGGTCATTTACTTTTCATTCTTGAGAAATCAGAGCTTGAAATTAATAATGACCATTTCCAGTGTATCGTTGCTATAACTTGATCGACGATCCAGGATCAATGGGAAAAAAATGGCAGATTATTAATGAAACCCAGGTCTGCATATATACTTATTTTTTGTTGTTTGATAATCGATCTATTTCTTGGTCATTGATATTGTTTTACTTAACATGTTGCTTTTGTCTTGTTATTTGATATTTTTCTACTTTGATGAATAAATTTTGCAGTGCATGTTAAGTTATGTTTTAAATTGATATCATGTGTACCACTGCTACGTACAACTATATATACATGACATACTTATGGTTTAGATTGAAACCAGGAAGAGCAATAAAATTACACACATTTCTATTGTACCAGTTATTGTAAAAAATTTTGGAAATTTTATTGGACATGAAAATGAAAGAATTTCTTCGAACTGAGATATTTTACTTAAAATATTTCTTGTCATTACGTGGATGAATAACAATGCTGTTTTTATAAATATTTTAGGTCTAGATGGGTAAAAATCTGTTTACAATGTCTGTGTGACAATGGAAGACACTGTCAGTCGGAGCTCTCTAGATTCTTCTTCTACTGGTGATGAATATGTTGTGGTCAATGGGGAACCAAAACTGAGAATAACTGGAGATATACGAGATATAAATGATGAAATCCTTGACAAAATGGCTTCTTCGTCAACAATAACATCAACAGATTCTTTAAATAAGGAACCAGAGAATGATTTAAATGAGCATCATGCATTACAAAGCAGCCAATCAGTGGATGAATTTTCATCAAAGCTACGGCAACAAAATGCAGGTACATTGTACATATCAGTGTCCTCCCTGGATTAGAATAGAGGAATACTGCACCAAAACAGATTTTATTAAAAAGTAAAAAAAAAAAATGGAGAAGCATTTTTTTGTTCTTAGTTCAGATTTCAACAAAAATTGCTATAAATGCATAAAACTCTATTTCAAATTGATGTGTCAATTTTTTGATATGCTAGTATTGGGAGAAATGTTTTAAAAACTGAGTTTTTGTTAAAAAATCTCAAATTTTGAGAAACAATTTTTCCTGCTAGGATTTTAACAAAAAATTAATTCCCAGTGTCAATTTGGCAGTAAAAACTAACTTTTTGTTTAAAAATCACAAAATTTGAGAAGCATCTTTTTTGTGTTCTAGATTTCAAGAAAAAAATCGATATTAAGATCTACTCATGTAATATATATGCTATTCCAAGTTAATCCTAGCGTCAAAAATGATCCATCAGCCGCTATAATACAAAAAAAAATCTCATAGTGTGGATATATTAAGAAACTCAACATTTTTAGAATTAATTCCTGGGATCGAAATTTACAAAAATTGATACCCATGTATATGTATTGCTAAAAAAAAAAATGTTTGAAATAGTATTAATTATGTGTTTCTGTGTTTAACACAAAAATATGCAAGTTTGAAATGTCACTTTTCTAGTTCTCTGATGTTCATATTTCCTAGCAAGAGAAAGATCAGTTTCACTTCCTGCAACCTCTATGGAGGAAACCGACACAGTGTTCAATGGAGTTACCTACCTTGGATGTGCTCTTGTCAATGCTCCAAGGAGTGAGGTAGAAATCTACAGGAACATGGCGATATTAAATGAACAAACACAGATGGTGATACCTATCATTCTGTCTGTGCCAAATACATCAATTGGGAATATCAGGTAAATGTTGTGTCTAATAAGGGAAAAAATATTGAGTCAATTCTCGTAATATCTCAAAATTAGAATATAGAAAAATGTCAAGAATTTACTGTTTCCCTTTGAGAAACAGAAATTTTAAAGAAACAGATTTACTCGAATTCATAATAAAAGAAGTTTGTCTCTTTTGTTGATATTCTTTATACATGCACATTATGCACTGTACACATGGATAACCATTGTTGACATTGACCCTAAAAAAATCAAGTGTTTACACATTTTTTGATATTCCTAAAATCTTATAAAATCATTCAAAGATGTGTTCATGTAACTAGGGTTCTCTTTAATACACATAAACAGGTCCTTAATGGATCTCATTCTGAATGGACATGACTTTTCACGAACCTATACCATCATAGAAAGTATCCTGATTCAGGGCTCACCCTTCTGGGCTACAATATTGCGTTCCCGTCTGTCACTCAGCTTTTCTGGTTAGTAAATGTAAGTAGTATTACTTAAAGTTCAGAAATTTTTGTGAATTTATATTATTGCGAAAATTGCATCCGGATGGGTGTGGAAAAAAATAAAAAGATGCATTTTATATTTTGACAGCTTTATTTTTATGCAACATTTCTTGAAATCCCAATAAATTATCTTGCACTTTTGTACATTATTAAACAATCTCAATGATAATTACACTTGAAACTTTTCCTAATTTACAATTTTGTAAATAGAACTTTGATTTAGTGGCTAGATTGTTTTATGAGGTTTGGGCTGTTGGTGGTTGATGGTTGTTTTCAATTTGCAGACTGCAATACAAGTTTTAACATAAAAGTTCTTGAGACAAGCTAAATACTGTAAAATTGGATTTCAGTACAGAAATCTATTTGTCAATTCTTAGTAAATTCAAATTCATTGTAACATAATTACCAGAGTTGACTCTATTAATGTTGTAATAATGTAACTTTGTTAGATAGTATTCATAAGGGCTATTCCATCAAAATGTATGTGGGAGGGTAGGAAGGGACTTTCAAAATATCCCTACAACCAAGAACCATTTTTTTAGATAATTTTGCGTAATGGTAACAGACGCATACTGAAAAAAGACCCATGACCCACAATCAATAATTAAACTTCCCTTCCTACCCTCCCACGTATGGTTTAATGGGATAGCCCTAAAGTATAAACTTATGTACATGTATATTCTTTTTTATGGATACCACATTCGACATGATATGGTGAAGATATTTACAAACTGTGTTGAAAAATTTTGGACAGTTCATTTAAAGGTTTTTTGGTGTTTTTTTTTAAAAGAGGATTTGGGATTGGGGTTTTGTCAATCTGCACTTTTTGGCTCACCTGGCCTTTTCTCATCACTTGGTGTCCATCGGTGTCCATTAACTTTTACAAAAATCTTCTCCTCCAAAACTACTGGGACAATTTTAACCAAACTTGGCTACAATCATCATTGAGGAACCTAGTTTAAATCATGTGTAAGATGACCCCACCTACCAACCAAGATGGCCACCAAGGCTAAAAATAGAGCATAAGGAAAAAATGCAAGTTTTGTCTATTATTTTGAAATCACTATAAACAGAGAAAATCTGACTTGGGCAGAAATGTTTAGAATATTGAGCTTTACCTATTATGCATTAACATCAAAATGTATAGTAATTATTTTTCTTAATTGACGAATTTTACCATATTTCATTTTTGCGACTAGTTATTGGAGTTCTTTCTCGTTAATGACAACTTTACCCATTTTTGGTTTTTTTGCCTATTATCTTGAAAACTATAAAAGATGGATACCATAGAAACTTTAAATGATAAAAATGATCATCAATACAAGATCAACAAAAAAGAGATCTTTTGATGAATTCTATTCTAGTCTACAATATTGGAGAGTGTCAATTGTTTAAGATGCACATAGACCTAGGTGAGCGACACAGGCTCCTGAGGGCCTCTAGTTATATGATTTTGCCATGCATAAAGTTTTGAATTATTATTCATGTCGTGTATAAGACCCATTTTCAGAAACTTCCACTACTTACAGTGCTTTCCAACCCTGTATGGTGGACCTATACATTTATTTCTGGAATAATTCTTACAGGAATATATTTCATAAGTCGAATAGGGTACCTATGTTGTATGCAGTTTATTTAATTTGAACCAATTTACTTGTCATTTTAGATTCTTACAACTAGTACTTATAATTATGATCTTGTGTTTTTTTTTCGGCCAAGTGCCTTATGATTGTTTTACTTCAAAAATTTGATTGAATTGAAAAACAGTCCCAATTTAATTTGTTTCTGTTTTTAATTGAATAATCAAACAAGCTAGCAAGCTGGACATAAAACCCTTTAATTGGCACAAGAAAATTTAGTTTTTTGGTACTACTTTAAATTTGCTCATTATATATAGGAAATGCTAGAATAAAAAATTATAAACAAATTACTGGTAGACAAGATTTACACAGTTATTACATGTATGTCATAATTATGCCATAATATGCTCATATTTCACAAAAAATGAAAATAAATTCAGATTTTCTGCAGTCTTTAATTATTATCCATATTTCCCCCTGTTGGAAACATTTGCTGCAGCAAAATAGAAAAGTAATTGTTTTTAGAGAATCTTTCTTATCGCTATTTACAAAATCCAACCAAATATATAGTTGTGTATTTTGATGCACCCATACTTTTTTAATCCAACATATACTTGATATATGTATATATATATATATATATCAGGCGATTTTCCCTGAAATTTTTCTCTGTATTTATTCAATGGAAATATAGTTAAGTCTCCCAAACGAAGTTTGGGAAGACTTATTGTTTTTGCTCAGTTCTTATTATTATTATTATTCTTCTTCTTCTTCTTCTTCTTCTTCTTCTTCTTCTTCTTCTTCCGCCGCTTTTAAATTTGAACTTGTCCGCACCCGTTCTCCAAAACCGCTTGTCGGATTAACTTAGGGTTTCACAATATGTTAGACTAACATGTCTAGTGGTGCAATCAGGGTTTTGTTTTTGCAATGGGGTTTATAAAGGGGTACTTTGAGGGGCAAAAAGAAAAGAGGGTTTTACTATAGAACCCTATGGGATTTTATTTTTAAAAATTTTCAAATGATTATAAATTGAAAACCATTCCTGATAGACACAAACTTTTTAATTGAAAATGTTCTAAATGATAAAGCCCATTAAATGAAATACAGGGTTCGTCCCCAGGGGTCACCCCACCCCCTGCCATTTAAGAAAGTTCTAATACCTTGTAAGTGGTCAAGATCCCCACCCCTAAACCATATATATTCTGGTTTGTCATGCTAAGATGGTTTGAATGATATACAGGGTTAGTCCCCAGGGGTCATCCCCACCCCCTGTCATTTGAGAAAGTTCAAATATCTTGTAAATGGTCGAGATCCCCACCCCTAAACCATATATATTCTGGTTTGTCATGCTAAGATGGTTTGAATGATATACAGGGTTAGTCCCCAGGGGTCACCCCCACCCCCTGCCATTTAAGAAAGTTCTAATATCTTCTAAGTTGTCAAGATCCCCACCCCTAAACCATATATATTCTGGTTTGTCATGCTAAGATGGTTTGAATGATATACAGGGTTAGTCCCCAGGGGTCATCCCCACCCCCTGTCATTTGAGAAAGTTCTAATATCTTGTAAATGGTCGAGATCCCCACCCCTAAACCATATATATTCTGGTTTGTCATGATAAAGCACATCAAATGAAATACAGGGTTAGTCCCCAGGGGTTACCCCCACCCCCTGCCATTTAAGAAAGTTCTTATATCTTGGAAGTGGTCAAGATCCCCACCCCTAAACCATATATATTCTGGTTTGTTATGCAAAGATGGTTTGAATGATATACAGGGTTAGTCCCCAGGGGTCATCCCGACCCCCTGCCATTTTAGAAAGTTCTAATATCTTGTAAAAGGTCGAGATCCCCAACCCTAAACCATATATATTCTGATTTGTCATGATAAACCACATCAAATGTTATACAGGGTAAGTCCCCAGGGGTCACCCCCACCCCCTGCCATTTAAGAAAGTTCTAATATCTTCTAAGTGGTCAAGATCCCCACCCCTAAACCATATATATTCTGGTTTGTCATGTTGAGATGGTTTGAATGATATACAGGGTAAGTCCCCAGGGGTCATCCCGACCCCCTGCCATTTGAGAAAGTTCTAATATCTTGTAAATGGTCGAGATCCCCACCCCTAAACCATATATATTCTGGTTTGTCATGTTGAGATGGTTTGAATGATATACATGGTAAGTCCCCAGGGGTCATCCCGACCCCCTGCCATTTGAGAAAGTTCTAATATCTTGTAAATGGTCGAGATCCCCACCCCTAAACCATATATATTCCTATTTGTCATGTCTCGAACATTTGAATGACGTACACGGGCAGTCCCCAGGGGTTCCCCCCACCCCCAATGTTCTAATATCTTGTAAATGGTTGAGATCGCCACCCCTAAACCATATATATTCCTGTTCGTCATGTAATGAACATTTGAATGACGTATAGGGCCAGTCCCCAGGGGTTCCTCCCCACCCCCAATATTCTAGTATCTTGTAAATGGTCGAGATCCCCACCCCTAAACCATATATATTCTGGTTTGTCATGATAAAGCACATCAAATGTAATACAGGGTTAGTCCCCAGGGGTCACCCCCACCCCCTGCCATTTAAGAAAGTTCTAATATCTTCTAAGTTGTCAAGATCCCCACCCCTAAACCATATATATTCTGGTTTGTCATGCTAAGATGGTTTGAATGATATACAGGGTTAGTCCCCAGGGGTCATACCCACCCCCTGTCATTTGAGAAAGTTCTAATATCTTGTAAATGGTCGAGATCCCCACCCCTAAACCATATATATTCTGGTTTGTCATGATAAAGCACATCAAATGAAATACAGGGTTAGTCCCCAGGGGTTACCCCCACCCCCTGCCATTTAAGAAAGTTCTTATATCTTGAAAGTGGTCAAGATCCCCACCCCTAAACCATATATATTCTGGTTTGTCATGCCAAGATGATTTGAATGATATACAAGGTTAGTCCCCAGGCATCACTAATGCATATAACTTTACTGGACCAAACCAATTTTCACTGGACATTGCCCAATGTCAGGCGACCCTGGGAATTACGAATTATGGGAGCTTCGTTTGGGAGACTTCATAACAGCATCCTGTTACAATCAGTTCTTGTTTTATTTGCAATCCTGATAAAAAAAAAAAACTTTCAAACCGTGTGTTGTATTATGGTGATTTTTACCATGTCAACTTTGTATTAATGTATTTTGTTTTATCTTTGCATTGCAGACAGGATAAATTGGTTCGGTATGCATTTTACTCATTTCCCTCTCTTTATGTTTTTATGGTGTTTTGTGCTTGTTTTACGTTTCTTTGATTTAGTGTATTAATTTTAGTTGCTTAATTCTACAGCCTTCATATCTTTTTAAAAAAACATTGAACATAATGAGTGATTGAGACTTTTAAAAAGTGGTTGACTAATGTCAGTGAATATGAATTATGCAATTAGCTCTTTGTAATCCAAATCTGAATTCTTCATTATATTTTATAAACACATCATTTTAACCTTCTTCTACCACATTTGCAAAAGTTTTAATTACAAATTGAGATCTTTTTAATTCTTAAGATGTATTTGTTTTATTTTACAATGTTTACAACAAATTTATAGGCATATGTTATTACAAAATAATTTCAAAGGACAGGGTGAAATTACTTTACTGAAATTTGAACATTTAATTTAAGATTTCAATTTATGTCTGTTTTAAAGTTGAGATGTGGCAAAATTAAAACCAAGAGTTTTTTATCCATTGTGTCACATAAAAAAAGGCCCTTCTAAGTGTTACAGTGAAAAATACAAAGATTTGGGTCGTATTTTGCATAGTTTTTGGGCCTGCAAATACAGAGCGCATGCAAGTACCAACTAGATAATTTACCACAATGTTTGTCAATATGAACTTTCATGTAAATATTTTTGTTGTTCATGTACTTGCATGTGTTCAATAATTCCTGATAACAAATATGTGTGAAAATATGCAAATTTTAAATTTTTTGTGAAAAAAAAAAATTAAATATTGTATCTTAAGTCTATTAAATCTCTGTAAATATTCATGATATTACACCAAAGATAATACACTTTAAAGTTTGCTCAAATTTAAGAATTACTGTTAAGCCAAATTCACAGAGTTCTGTAAAACTTAATTTTTGTAGGCCGAAAAGGATTCTTATTGCACCTCCCCTTTTCTCTGTTGAATAACAGGAAGTCTAGGGTATTATGAGACAACAACCTAGCAACACACAAAAATATCAAGCTTAACATAGAGTGTATAGTGTATGTCAAACTTTCCCATGTCTGGACAAGTTCTAGAAATTACAAATTTCTCAAAGGGAAAAAAACCTTTGGTCTATATCTTGATAAGTGTGGAGGTCCATAAAACTCCACGTTTTTCCTCAATTAAAGAATTAAGAAATATGATATTGCTTGTGTATGTTGATTATATATACGTATATCAAACCTAATAAACACGATCACTTTGCAGACACTATTTACTGCACTAATCACCTTAATAAATATGGTATGCACAAACTAATTAACTTTTTAATTTCAACAAAAGTTTAGGAGTTGTATATTTAAAGCAAAAAGTCTAATATTTAGAGGCCTGTAAGGACAATACCTGTGCTGATTGAAATTTTATGGGAGTATTGCCCTTTGGAGCTTTCTCCATGTTAGTTTTGAGAATAAAATTGCAGTATAAGGTGTACTCATATGGAGTTATTGCCCCTGAAATATTAATATTATCCAATTTTCACAGTTTTGGCTGTTATCATGAAAACTAAAGGGGCTAGATAGATTTTGAATTGCAAAAATTATCAGGACAACAAGATCTATTTACCCTTTGCCTGAAAATTTCACTAGAATCTGTCAACCTGTTTTTGGAGTTGTTGCCCCTTATAAGTTTTCCAATTTTTGCAGTTTTTATACGACCGCAAAAAATTTTTTGGGATCGTATAATGGAATGATGTCGTCATCGTCTGCGTCGGCGTCCAAAGACACATTGGTTTCCGGACAATAACTTTAGTTTAAGTGAATGGATCTCTATGAAATTTTTTAAGAAGGTTCAATACCACAAAAGGAAGGTTGGGATTGATTTTGGGGATGATGGTCCCAACCATTTAGGAATTAGGGGCCAAAAAGGGGCCCAAAACAAGCATTTTTCTAGTTTCAGGATAATAACTTGTGTATAAGTATTTCGATTGCTCTGAAATTGTACCACAATATTAAATACCACAAGTAGAAGGTTGGGATACATTTTAGGGGTTATGGGGCCAACAGGTTTAGGAATTAAGGGCCAAAAAGGGGCCAAAAAAACAAGCTTTTTCTAGTTTCCAGACAATAACTTGTGTGTAAGTGTATGGATATCTCTGACATTGTACCACAAGGTTCCATATAACAAAGGAAAGGCTGGGATTGAGTTTGGGGTTAATTGCCCCAAACATGTAGGAATTAGAGACCACAAAAGGACCAAAAACAAGCATTTTAAATGACGCAAAATTTAATTTTGCGGTCGTATATTGGTATGACGTTGGCTTCGTCCGGCGTCGTTGTCCGAAGACACATTGGTTTTTATACGATCGCAAAAAATTTTTGCGGTCGTATATTGGTATGACGTTGGCGTTGTCGTCGTCGACGTCCGAAGACACATTGGTTTTCGCACTCTAACTTTAGTTTAAGTGAATGGATCTCTATGAAATTTTACCATAAGGTTCAATACCACAAAAGGAAGGTTGGGATTGATTTTGGGGGTTATGGTACCAACAGTTAAGGAATTAGGGGCCAAAAAGGCATTTTCTAGTTTCCAGACAATAACTGTGGAACGGTGTATGGATCTCTCTGAAATTATACTACAAGTTTCCATACCACAAAGGGATGGTTAGGATTTGCTTTGGGGGGTTATGGGTCAAACCGTTTAGGAATTAGGGGCAAAAACAAGGTTGTCCTGGTTAATGGACAAATACTTTAGTACAAAACATAATTTAAAGCAGTGTAAGGGAGATAAATCAAATACATCATTGAAATTATCTCCCTTACACTGCTTTTAAATTATGTATAAAGTAATGGTTAATGAACAATTAAGATAATTTAAAACAGTGTAAGGGAGGTAATCCAAATACAACGTTTTGGTTACTTCCCTTACACTGCTTTTAAATTATGTTTAAAGAAATGCATATTTATAAAGGAAGACCAGTAAAAATATCTGCAAATGTTGCATCTTTTTTTTTTACAAAAAAATCCATATGAAAGATTTGACACTATATTTTAAATTCTATTATAAAATAGATTAAGTTAGCACTATGGTAAATTTAAATGGGTAATTATGGTTGCAAACTTCATTGGAAATTTGATTGAGATTATGACCATATCTTGAGGGAAAGAATTTTTTGGGGGAAAAAAAGGGGGGGGGGGTAAAAAGAAATTGTGGGGGGTCAATTTTTTCTCATTTCAGATTTCAGAAATTAAAAAGAATTATTCTTCAAATATTATTTTTTTTTCAAATTTCAAATATTGAAAAATTTCAAGAAGTAATCTTTAATTGCACAGTATGGCACATTAGATTTGTAAAATCTTTGACCACATTTATTTATTTGTTATGCCGAATCAAACCGTGTATTTAGATTTTTAATTTTGAATCCTGTTTTCAAATTGGTCTACATTAAGGTCCAAAGGGTCCAAAATTAAACTTTGTTTGATTTTAACAAAAATTGAATATATGGGGTTCTTTGATATGCTGAATCTAAACATGTATTTAGATTTTAGATTTTTGGCCCAGTTTTCAAGTTGGTCCAAATTGGGGTCCAAAATTAAACTTTTGTTTGATTTCAACAAAAATTGAATATATGGGGTCCTTTGATATGCTGAATCTAACCATGTATTTAGATTTTTTATTTGTGGACCCCGCTATCAAATTGGTTCATATTGAGGTCAAAAGGGTCCAAAATTAAACTTCATTTGATTTCATCAAGTTTTTTAAATTTGTCTACATTAAGGTCCAAAGGGTCCAAAATTAAACTTAGTTTGATTTTAACAAAAATTGAATTCTTGGGGTTCTTTGATATGCTGAATCTAAACATGTGTTTAGATGTTTTTTTATGGGCCCAGTTTTCAAGTTGGTCCAAGTTGGGGTTCAAAATTAAACTTTGTTTGATTTCAACAAAAATTGAATATATGGGGTTCTTTGATATGCTGAATCTAAACATGTATTTAGATTTTAGATTTTTGTCCCAGTTTTCAAGTTGGTCCAAATTGGGGTCCAAAATTAAACTTTGTTTGATTTCAACAAAAATTGAATATATGGGGTCTTTTGATATGCTGAATCTAACCTTGTATTTAGATTTTTTATTTGTGGGCCCGCTGTCAAATTGGTTCATATTGAGGTCAAAAGGGTCCAAAATTAAACTTTGTTTGATTTCGTCAAAAATTGAATTATTGGGGTTCTTTGATATGCCAAATCTAACCGTGTATTTAGATTTTTAATTTTGGGTCCAGTTTTTTAAATTGGTTTACATTAAGGTCGAAAGGGTCCAAAATTAAACATAGTTTGATTTTAACAAAAATTGAATTCTTGGGGTTCTTTGATATGCTGAATCTAAACATGTGTTTTGGTTTTTGATTATGGGCCCAGTTTTCAAGTTGGTCCAAGTTGGGGTCCAAAATTAAACTTTTTTTTATTTCAACAAAAATTGAATATATGGGGTTCTTTGATATGCTGAATATATGGGGTTCTTTGATATGCTGAATCTAACCATGTATTTTGATTTTGGACATTGGACCATAATAGGTAAATTAAAAAAATTCAAGTTCTTAGACCACATTCTTTCTGTGTCAGAAACCTATGCTGTGTCAAATATTTAATCACAATCCAAATTCAGAGCTGTATCAAGCTTGAATGTTGTGTCCAAACTTGCCCCAACTGTTCAGGGTTCGACCTCTGCAGTCGTATCAAGCTGCGCCCAGCGAAGCATTTTATTGCACTCTAACTTTAGTTTAAGTGAATGGATCTCTATGAAATTTTACCATTAGGTTCAATACCACAAAAGGAAGGTTGGGATTGATTTTGGGGGTTATGGTACCAACAGTTAAGGAATTAGGGTCCAAAAATAAGCATTTTTGTAACTTCCAGACATATTTTGTGTGTTAGTGTATGGATCTCTCTTACATTGTACCACAAGCTTCCATATCACAAAGAGAATGCTGGGATTGATTTTGGGGGTAATTGCTTGAAAATTTTAGGAATTAGGGGCCAAAAAAGGGGCAAAAAACAAGCATTTTTCTTGTTTCATGACAATAACTTGTGTGTAAGTGTATGGATCTTAATGAAATTTTACTACAAGGTTCCATATCGCAAAGGGAAAGCTGGAATTGAGTTTGGGGGTAATTACCCAAAACGTTTAGGAATAAGGGGCCAAAAAGGGGCCAAAAATAAGCATTTTTCTAGTTTCCAGACAATATCTTGTGTTCAACTGTATGGATCTCTCTGAAATTGTACTGCAAGGTACCATACCAAAAAGGGAAGGCTGGGATTGATTTTGGGGGTAATTGCCTCAAAATTTTAGGAATTGGGGCCAAAAAGGGGAAAAAAAACCAAGCATTTTTCTAGTTTAGGACAATAACTTGTGTGTAAGTGTATGGATCTTTATGAAATTGTACTACAAGGTTCCATATCAATGGGAAAGCTGGAATTGAGTTTGGGGGTAATTGCCCTAAACGTTTAGGAATTTGGGGCCAAAAAACAAGCATTTTTCTAGTTTCCAGACAATAACTTGTGTTCAAGTGTATGGATCACTCTGAAATTGTGCTTCAAGGTACCATACCACAAATGGAAGGCTGGGATTGAGTTTGGGGGTGATGAATCATAAGGGGGTTCAAAAAATTTGGGGGGGGGGGTTTCCCTTTTTTTCTTTAAAATTTTCCATTTTAAATTGGTTATTTCTGATTTATATATAAAAGCAAACAATAATGATATGGTTTGAATAGGTAAATATAAAATTTTTAAGTTCTTAGACCACATTCATTCTGTGTCAGAAACCTATGCTGTGTCAAATATTTAATCACAATCCAAATTCAGTGCTGTATCAAGCTTGAATGTTGTGTCCATACTTGCCCCAACTGTTCAGGGGTCGACCTCTGCGGTCGTATCAAGCTGCGCCCAGCGGAGCATTTTATTCTAGTTTCCAGACAATAACTTGTGTGTAAGTGTATGGATCTCTCTGAAATTGTACTACAAGGTTCCATACTACAAAGGAAAGGGCTGGGATTGAGTTTTGGGGTTATTGCTCCAAGGGGGGTTTCAAAAAGTTGTGAGGGGGGGGGGGGGGGGGGGTTCCCAATTTTTTTAAGGGATTCATATTTTTTTTCAAAATTTTTTCAAGAAGAAATCTTCAATTGCACAGTATTGTGCAATGAATTTATAAGATCTTTATCCACATTTATTTTGTGTCAGAAACCTTTATTATGTCAAAAATTTGATCACATTATCCAAATTCAGACAGTATCAAGCTTGAATATTGTGTCCAAATTTGCCCCAACTGTTCAGGGTTCGACCTCTGCGGTCGTATCAGGCTGCGCGCAGGGAAGCATTTTATTTTGCTATTACATTGAACTCTATAGGAGCTAAATTGAAAGTGCAAATTGCAGAAATTATCAGCATGACAAGATCTATAAACTTTGAAAATTTTAGAAAGTCTGACTATCTCTTTTGGAGTTGTTGCCTGTGAAATATGTTGATTTTTACTGGGTTATTTTGCAGTTTTGACTGGTTTCTCAAAAACTATAAGGGCTAGATAAAACATAGATATGAAGTGAAGGTGAAGGATACATGCCTTTTGTTATTCAATGTTGAAGATGAATCAATTGTGATGTATTTTAATATAAATGCTTTGCAAAAGTTTAGTCTGTTTAATAACATAAAGATAAGGAGATGTGGTATGAATGCCAATGAGTTAACTATCCACTACAATAATGTAGGCTAAACATTTTAATGTTTTACCACTATTGTTTGAATGATAGGTGTCAGATATAATTAAATGTGTGATACAATGTACCGTGAAGTTCTCATTATGACATGCCTCTTATGACTTCAACTTCATAGAAATTGATAGACAGGAGAAAGGTAGTTTTTTAATAGCCTCAACTTATTTCGCGATGTGAAATGAAGGCTACATTAAAATTTTTTTTTAAAAGAATAAGAAAATACATACCATAAGCTCTATGTACTGATTATAAATGTACCTTTGAAATGTTTACACTTGTTAAAAGGTATAGAGGTTGCACACCTTAAGATAAAGTTACAAAATTATCTTTTCTTAGACACTAATGTACCCTATAACTATTTATTTGGTAGATCATTAAGATAATTAGGGTAAAAGTCCAGATTTTTTAGTTAGACTTACAGTGACTAAAATTTTGATTCTCATGGAAGTTATATTTTTGTTGATATTGAAACATTATATGAGTAAGTACAGTCATTTATATAATAAACAATGTCTTTGTTATCTCCCCCTTATCTTATCAACATTCAGAAGTTGGAATAAATTACTGGTACAGATTTGGATGCAGAAAATTCACAAACTATTCCTTTAGTAGGCTAACAGAAGAGGACATTTTTTTCTAAATTTACCTAACTTTATGTTTATAGTGCCATAGTTCATGCTTACTTTTCAAACCCTGTAAGAGATCAGCTTCTGTATATGTGACATGAGGAGTGCAAATTAATTCTCGTTTAAAAAATTTTAAGAAAAATATGGTGCAAGTTGGCCATTAGTGTCTTTAATCCATTTTTGGTTTTGTATATCAATGAATTTCTTACAGATGTCTAACATTGAATTCATAACTGTTGGATAGTCTCTCAGGTATATTCTGAGGAACTATCGTGTGTTTTGTTTTAGTGTAAAGGTCATTCTATCTTTAATTATTTAATCAATTATCACTGATAAAACTTTCGATGTTGTTTGTCCATTTTGTATTTGTTTTAAGAGAAGGTTCAGTTGTAATGTTATATGAACATTTGGACAAGTACATGAATGGAATATACTATTAAAAATGGCAATGTTTGGTTATCTGCGTTCTGTCTGTAGCCTTAGAAAAATCTGTTCAAATATTTAGTTTCTCTGATCAAAATGAAAGAAGAAAATATTTTGTAAAGAGAGGTGTATGTTTATTTTTGAATTGACACTTTACGAAAGAAACTTAACTTCCACCATTCCTTTTTTTAGTAGAACAGAAATGATATAAGGTTGATATTTTAATGTTTTTCATTGGGAAAACAAATATGAGTAACATATATAATTTGGATCCTTTTGCTTTTTCTGATAAAGATATGAAAGATCAGTATTTGTAAATGATAGTTTTGTGCAACAGAAAAATTAAGGCCGAGTTGAGTAAAGCATTGGTAGTAGGTGCTAATCATTCAGATATTAAAAAAATATATGCAGTTTGAATATTTATAATTAAATTTGACAACTCAGGACATCAGAAATATCAGATTTCTAGAATATGAGTGAAAAGAAATCTTTGAAAATAGTTTTTTTTTTGCAGGTTAATCGATCCAACCAATGATTCGGAAATTGCAAACTACAAAATCCATCGTATTCTGTTCTGTGCTCGAGGCCCCAATGAAAGTAATGAAAAAAAATGTTTTGCTTTCACCTGTAGTCATGGTGATTCTGCTGACAATGCAATATTCCAGTGTCATGTGTTTAGGTGTGAAATACAAGAAGCTGTGAGTACCCTCCTTTATTTATATCAGCTGGTTTTAAAGGCTTCAGTTGCAAAATATACATACAATATCATTTAAGTTAGAAAATTTAATACAAAAAATTGAACATGGCACATGAATGATGTTATTCATAGTGTGATTTCAACTTTTAGTTAGGCACAGATTTTGAAAACAATGCATTTAACTATAATGTTCAGGGATCCAATTGTGCAAGTCAGAATTTGTCGTACTTCAATGTTGAATCAAGAATAAAAAAAACATGAGTTATCTCTCTTTGCCAATGGTTAATTTTCTTACCTGTCCAAATAAGTAATCTATTACCTATACTTGTAATTAGAGTTACCCCTCCCAGTCTATTGAAAAGCCAATTTAATGTATAGTAGTGTATATGAAAAATAAGGAGGTATAATATGATTGCCAATGAGACATCTGTATTAATTTGAATATTATTTAAACAAGTAAGAATGATTCTCGCTTTCACAAGGCAAGGGGATCTGAGTACATACACGTATACTTCTCTAACTTTGCTGGTTAAGATATGAATATATGCAGAAATTGTATTACTGATGATATTTCTATTGAACATAACAATTTTTTATTTTTCAGGTAGGGAAAATTTTGTATTGCTTTGCCACAACATTTAGAAAAGTTCCAAAAGAAATGAAAGAGTCCAAAATTATGTTAGATGAAGAATTCGTATCTACATTTTCTGTCTCATTAGAATTCAAAGAGGATGATGGGAAAAATAATCTTACGACTTGTCCAAAGGATAAAAATGTCTTCAAATTCAGGAGTAACTATGAAAAGAAAATTGTGATCAACGTCTCACAGACAGGAGATACAGAACTTATGATTGAAAGGCAAGAATGTTATTAAATCATTAAAAAAAGTAATTTAGATTTCTACGAGAACCATTGTAGTACTGTGTCTTAGGAATCTAACCAGATAAAATAATTTTTATCTCACCTGGGAAGAAAGTCTGGTAGACATAAGGATTACAATCCAGCAACAACATAAACTATTTGTATAAAGCTTTATATTTGAAAAGCTAGAAGACCTGGATGCTTTTGTTTTGGTGTTTTGTTTCTCAGATACTATAAGCATAAGACCAACTATATTACATGTTATACTGTGGATTCATTACTATTCAGGAGAGACCAATTTTTGTGGATTTCGAGGGTACAGTCAAACAACAAATTTAAACGATCAACAAAGTAATAATTTTCTATAGACACGTAGGTAGACTTTGGCAAAACCATGAAATCCTCAATACACAAAAATTGGTAACCAAGATAAATAAATGAATCCATAGAACCTGATTGTATAATATTTGGAGAAAGAGAAATATGTTAAATATAAGTATGAAAAGACATATTTGTTTATTTACAGGTGTTTTGGTTTATTGATATCTCCTGGTAGAAATGTTAAACATGCTGATATGCAATTGATTGAAATGGTAATATCATAGTTTAAAATTTAATCTATTTTATATTTTTTCTAATACAGTCGAACCTCCTTGTTTAGAAAACTTTGATAAGTCGAAATATTTTGTCAGTTTCTTGTAAAATTCTAGTTTGTTTAATGCATTTTTAATTCTGATGTGTCAAACTCGGTTGGTTCAAAATCTAAGATAACTTGAGGATATAGATTTGAAATATGTTCGGAAAAAATGAACTATGTGTTGAAGTAGAAAATTTGGAAGGAACAGAACACATCAGTTATAGTTTCAAATACTGTGTCAAATATTCAAATCCTTTGTTTATTGAGAATCAAAATGAGTCTCCTGAGTTTATACTGAGTCGTTTAATTAGTTTGCATAACTATCAGAAGGGCATGTTTCAGATAGTATGTTGACACCTTGGATGATTGGTCATGTTGAAAATTGTGTTTGTGTAACCCATTTTATCCAAAAGAGTTATGGAATGAATCATAAAAGACCAAAAACATTCATTTATTGATATTATAAATGTTTGATAAATGTGATTAAAAAGACTAAAATTTGACCTCTCGTATAGAGGGCATTTTTGTTTTTGATACTGATATTATCAGCAAGAATATCAAGTGAGCTCGCTAGGGCCAGCTGATATTTGAGCTGATGAAGTCAGTATCAAAAAATAAAATGCCATTATTCTTTTTATTGGCATTTTGTCTTCACTGTATGTTTTTTTTGGTTGAGAATATGAAGTAAAATAAAATAGTAAGTAAAACTACTTTTACATGTACAAAACGTTTGGATAGTTGTTTTCGGTTGTATGAATAAAGTTGCATGCGTTTCATTGATAAATTGACACGGATGGACTTGAACAAATGACTTTACTGCACTGATACATGACCTCACTGCCTAATATTTTCGAGTATCAAGTCCTGTCCATGTTCTTAAAAATATAAGGCAGTAAGATCAAAGGAAAAATGTACAAATTGCCGATAAATAACTATAGGGGATATAAGTAAAAGTTGTATATTTTGCATCTCTATTGACTTTTTCAGAAATCCATGGGATATACAGACGGTAAGAATTATTTGGTATCAGGGAGTTGGGATCCTACAGAAGAATGTTTTGTGGTACTAAATACAGAGACACCTAAAGGTAAAATTTACTTCTGCTCAAAAAGGAGGAGAGACTATTGATATACTATAACCCATCATAAGTCATTGTTGACAATTGTTATCATGTGTGAAATTATTTCCCTACATTTATATCGGTTTTGCTCTTCTTGCTTGATTGATTCTTGTTTGCTTAATGTCCTGTGGCAAATATTTCATGCATGTTCAGGATGAGAAAAATTTACAACAAATGAGCTGCGTCTGATAGAAATCGACCTTATGCAAGTGCACCTATACATGTTCATGTTAAAGACTGATTGATTTTTGGAACATTCAAATATGAAATAAAAGAGGAATTTTAGTCTGTTTTGTAGGGTTCTTATACCAACTCAATTTTCAAATAGTTACAGACTTTGCATAAGGATTTGTTCAACTTGAAATAGGTTAACAGATGTGTTGATATTCATTTGTATAAGGTCGATTTCTATCCGATGCAGCTCAAATACAATAGGTAGGTCCTGTAATAGGGGTAGGCCAGGATCTTCTTGCTTGAAAATCTGTAAGTGTTCGTTGTGTCAAATGTGTTTACTGAATGATATGAAGTTGAACATGGAGATATCAACAATATTTAATTGTTTGAATAGATGCTATCACATTTTTCAAAACATTTAATTTTGGGGGTTTAGATTAACAAGAAAAACAGCACTGAAATAAAATTAGAAAAGGATTATTTTTGCATGATAGCATGGTAGAAATCCAGTTGGCCCAATAAGAACTATTATTACTCGTCTGATATTTATATGCAGAGAACACCTTATAAGCTATACCTCTTTCACTACTTATGTTCTAAAAGAAGTTTTTACACTTCTATGAGATATATACTGACCATATGTTGTCTATAAATAATGGTAAACAAATGAATATTATGAATATGGTAATGTATCTATCAATATAGAAAGGACCCAGAAATGTACAAATGTAAACCATGTATGTTAATTTTTGTTCAAGACATACTAGACATTTTGGCTGATTTATAGCTTGAAATTTAATTATGGCTCTTGTCATAGTTATTTGTATTACTGTTATGTCCAGTAGATCATATTTAGTTTACTAACATGTATGCTAATGTGTTGCTGTCTTTATAATGTTAATTCTACATTTTTGATTTGTAGAAAGTAATTTTAGCAAAATTGTATGAACAAATTCTTGAGTCATGAGGATGGTTATTCTTTAAGAATATTGTACCCTATCCTTTATGCTTGGTCACAGTTGTGAAAGGGTCTGTTGTTGTCTAATTTAGATATCTCAATCAAATTACATACAAGAACTGGATTTGTAAACAACCTGACAGAAATATTTTAAATATTGTTCTTTAATAATGCATATTTTGTACAACTGGTTTCCATTACAGATACCAGAGTGTTCCTGACAGTGGCTGTAGATTTAGTGATCCATGGAATCCAGGAACCAGTTAGATTTGCCATTGAAACCAAAGCCAAGATCTTCCCAATGACTGAAAGGTTCTGGAATTTTACTAAACGTCCTCATCAGGAACTTTTTCACATAAATTTAAAACAGGTAGGCTTTCTAATTTTATTGACAACTTAAAGTGGCTATCCATTTAACCATAGAAGTACCTGTAACACCACTGTCCCAGATTAAGAGGACGGTTGGGCGCCCACAAATTCGTTTATTGTTCTGTACATAAATCAGGCTGTTAGATATCTTGTATGAATTGTTCTGCATTAGTAATTTCTGGGCCTTTTATAGCTTACTATGCAGCATAAGATCAGTCTGTGACGTTAAACGGTAGCCTGAAGCCCCTAGTTAACATTACCTGGGACTAGTGAATGCGTACTGCTGATAGTTCAACCGGTCTAGTACATATCTGTGTGCACTTTTTATGTCCCCACTGCAGGGTTTCAGCTAGGATTTTGAGGGCTTTAGTCACTTTTGCGCGAGATGAAAATTAACCTTATTTTGGGTAACAGCAATGAATCAAGGACGTATATTTCTAGCTTTACATATGCCTAAGTCCTTCAAGGAATAGGACCTTTGTAGGCCTTAGGCCTGCTGATGTAGGCAGTCATTGCATGATTTGACTTATGTGATACCTAAATATGAAGATAAGAACAGGGATCCGGAAATCTAGTTCACAATTTCACTTCAGATATTTGCAGGGGACATTCCTGATCAACAAAAGTTGGGTGCCTCTTTTTTTAAACCACAGCATAATTCCCATAAATGAACTTGTAACGACTATTTCACTGCGTAATCATTATCCTTGTAAAGACGTTTAAATCGAAATTTGAAATTTATTTCTTTGAAGTTGGAAACAAGGATTTGTACCAATCCTTAATGGAACGATTGTTATGGCTGTACATTGTAAATTAATCGAGAATATATCACGTTTACTTTCTATTTTTAAACGAAATGAAAACAGGAAGTGACAAGTAGATAATAAATTCAGAATGAATCCGGATTCATCTACGGATTGGTTTCGTGGTTAACAAAAGGCAGGAAATTATCATTTTTATGCCCCCGCCGTACCGGAGGGGGCATTAAGTTTTACCCTTGTCCGTCTGTACGTACGTACGTACGTACGTACGTCCCGAAATTGGTTTCCGTTCTCTAACTTGAGTTTGCCTCAACCAAATGTAATGAAACTTATACACAATGCTTATTACCACAAAACACAGATCAAGTTTGAATTTTGGTGGCGTCACTTTAACCGATCTAGAGTTATGCCCCTTTATAAAAGGAAATATTGCATAATTTTTAGTTTCCGTTCTCTAACTTAAGTTTGCCGCAACCAAATGTTATGAAACTTATACACAATGCTTATTACCACAAAACACAGATCAAGTTTGAATTTTGGTGGTGTCACTTTAACCGATCTAGAGTTATGCCCCTTTATAAAAGGAAAAATTGCAAAATTTTTATTTTCTTCTAAATATCAAGTTTATATAATATATTTTTAAAATTGGAGTTATCTTCCTTTGACCATGATTATAGTTGAATCAACTACAATCAATGCTTTATACAATGCAATGTTTAATTTTGACTACCACTGATAAAACACAGATCAAGTTGAATTTGGGTAGTGTCACTTTAACCATTATTGAGTTATGCCCCTTTATAAATAGAAAGATTGCAAAATTTTTTAGTTTCCATTCTGTAACTGAAGTTTTCCCCAGCCAAACATTGTGAAACCTATACACAATATTCATTCCAACAAAACTCAGTAAAGATCAAGTACATTTTTTTTGTTTCAGTTCTCTAACTTGAGTTTGCCTCAACCAAATGTTATGAAACTTATACACAATGCTAATTACTACATAATACAGATTAAGTACGAAATTAGGTGGCAACACTTTTACCATTCTAGAGTTATGTCCCATTATAAACATAAAAATTGCTGAATTTTTTAGTTTGTCTCATCCAAATGTTGTAAAACTTATACACAACCGTTCTAGAGTTATGCATCATTACAAATAGAAAAATTGCTGAATTTTTAGTTTCTGTTCTCTACTTAAGTTAGCCTCAACCAAATGTTATGAGACTTACACACAATGCTTATTACCACAAAACTCAGATCAAGTTCAAATTTGGGTAGTGTCACTTTTACCGTTCTTCAGTTATGTCCCTTTATAACTATATGATATGCAAGCGGGGGCATCATCTGTGTCCACATGTGGACACTATCCACATTTATTTTAAATTAAGTTGCTTAGTAATAAATATCTTTGTCTCTCGTTTAATTTGATACTAAATGATTTCGTATTTTATGTTTTAGTGTCTACAAATTTATAAGAATACTTTCACGCATGCGCAGTACACAGTGAAGGAAGCACCTGTTTGATCGTGAAAATATTTCTAAACGTTTTGAATAAAAATGTTCTATCTTTTTAATCGAAATTGTCGAAAGTTTTTGATGAAAAGTTATATCAAATATGACGAAAATACGTTCATATGAGGAAACTACGACAAACAAACTGGATTGTTTGAGAAATATTGAAATTAAAATGCGAACTGTCCGGGGGAAACAATTTTGTTTTAATGACGAAACTAGGATAAACGAACTGCAAATTGTGGTCGTTTGAGAAATATTGAAATTGAAATTTTTACTGGGTTAAATAATTATGATGGTCAATTATGAGGTTTATAAACAATTAACGGATTAGTGACCCATCTGATGGCGATAAGCAGATTAACTGTAATCACAACTTTTAACACCTGTACATGTTGTAAACATTAATTAGCTGAGGGTCATAAACTTGTCAGAAACATGGAAGACAGGTAGAATTATTGTATTTTCATGCGAAATTTTTTTTACACTTTCCAAAATTTAAGTGACGAAATTGATTTGAAATACTTTTGTAAAAGACGAAAGTGACGAGCGCTGGCAAAATCACTGCCCACCGTAGCGGAGGGGGCATTAAGTTTTACCCTTGTCCATCTGTACGTATGTCCGTACGTCCCAAAATTTGTTTCCGTTCTCTAACTTTAGTTTACATCAACCAAATGTTATGAAACTTATGTACAATGCTAATTATCACAAAACACAGATCAAGTTCAAATTTTGGTGGCATCACTTTTATTGTTTTAGAGTTATGCCCCTTTACAATTGGCAAAATTGCTGAATTTTTCGTTTCTGTTCTCTATCTTAAGTTTGACTCAAATAAATGTTATGAAACTTATAAACAATGCTTAGGCCACACCAATTTGATTAATAGTTCTTTGGACTTTTCCCTCTCCTGTTTTGGAGAAATTGACTTTTCAATAAAAAAAAATAATTACCACTTCCGCAAATTTTTGGTCCGCATGCCGCTCCAAAATTCGTTTCTCCTTTAAAAATATTTTTTCACATAGATGCTTTTCTGTTGCATATAATGCTCCAATCGTTTTAAATACATGTGTGATGAATTGATTTGTAAATAAAAGGTCAAAAATCGGGATGCCAACATACAGTTGTGTCAGCTCATAGCCGTGGACAAGTAGTTATTGAACACACAGTTATCCGAAATGCTTCTCATTTAACCTTTAAAGACCTGTTCTAGGATGCAAAAATAAAAAAATCTTTCGTTAGTGACCACAAACACATCAATATTTGTTAGAACCATCGTCACCTCCGATCCTTGTTCCAACAGGCATAGACCTATCTATCTTTTGGATGAAATGAATTGTAAATTCTCATGAACTTTTTAAAAAATCACAGAAGTATTTGATGTTGATGAAGCCCCATATCCCCTTGTTAGTCGTTTGGCATGCAAGCAGAACACTTCTTTTGTTGGGGGGGTTAAAGAGATCCAACGAGACCAAGGTGATGCCGTATTGTGATTGGCATGCTCATGATAATTAGGGGTGTGTAATTGGTTCAACCACTTCTAGTCAAGCTAAAGAGTTTTAAATGCATTACAGCTTTAAGGAGAAAAGGATAAAGCATTCTGCTCAGTAAGAAAACTGCATGTGAATGGGGTGACAGGTTTTTTAAGGGAATATTTTAATACATATGCATGTATAGCAATATAACTATCTCAATCAAATGATAACATCATCTATTATAATAGTGCTTTTTTCAGGGTTTTTTTGTTCAATATGTATGCAGAATCTTACAAAAATCTGTGGCATCATCCATATACTGTTCCATGGTTGTTTTCTCTGAAATCTTTTGTAGTTGATTACGGTAGTATTTGGCTGTTACTACCTTAAGTTATTTTGAGTTATCATGACCTATAGTTTATGATGAAAAGACTTTTTATCAGTTAGAATTTAATCATGACTATTGGTATGATTGTTTACTTCCACTGAAAAGTGAATTATCAAAACAAATCAGGGTTAAAGGCTTAGAAGTCTAGAGGTTAATGCATAAATCATATCTGGTATATGTGTACTCAAGGATTGAATGGTGAATTTTGTTTTATGTTTTACTGCCACTATAAAGTGTGCTGAAAATAAGGTTTGAATTTCTGGCTTCAAAGTCATGGTAATGATTGTGGCTCTATCATCATGTTAACAGATTATATCTTCTCTGTATTTAGTGCATTGCTTTGAGTTAAAGTTGACTTTGGCTATGATTGTTCATAACGTGAATGACAAATAAGACTTTTTATACGACAAATTTTTGCGGTCGTATATTGGTATGACGTTGGCGTCGTCGTCGTCGTCTGGCGTCGTCCGGCGTCGTCCGAAGACACATTGGTTTTCGCACTCTAACTTTAGTTTAAGTGAATGGATCTCTATGAAATTTTACCATAAGGTTCAATACCACAAAAGGAAGGTTGGGATTGATTTTGGGGGTTATGGTACCAACAGTTAAGGAATAAGGGGCCAAAAAGAGGCCAAAAATAAGCATTTTTGTAACTTCCAGACATAACTTGTGTGTTAGTGTATGGATCTCTCTGACATTGTTCCACAAGGTTCCATATCACACAGGGAATGCTGGGATTGATTTTGGGGGTAATTGCCTCAAAATATTAGGAATTAGGGGCCAAAAAAGGGTAAAAAAACAAGCATTTTTCTAGTTTCATGATAATAACTTGTGTGTAAGTGTATGGATCTTTCTGAAATTGTACTACAAGGTTCCATATCACAAAGGGAAAGCTGGGTTTGAGTTTGGGGGTAATTGCCCAAAATGTTTAGGAATAAGGGGCCAAAAAGGGGCCAAAAATAAGCATTTTTCTAGTTTCCAGACAATTACTTGTGTTCAAGTGTATGGATCTCTCTGAAATTGTACTGCAAGGTACCATACCACAAAGGGAAGGCTGGGATTGAGTTTGGGGGTGATGAATCATAAGGGGGTTCAAAAAATTTGGGGGGGGGGATTTTTTTTTTTTTTTTCCTTTTTTTTTTCTTTTAAAATTTTCCATTTTAAGTTGGTTATTTCTCTGTTTTATATTTATAACAGTATTGCGCAATAGCAAGAAATCTTCAATTGCTCAGTATTGTGCAATAGCAAGAAATATCCAATAGCACAACATTGCGCAATAGCAAGAAATTGTAAATTGTACAGTATTGCGCAATTGCAAGAAATATTCAATTGCACAGTATTGTGCAAAAGAAGATACTTCGTATAAGTTGTTTATTTCTTGACCAATTTCAATGGGGTTTTATTCTTGAATTCTTGGGGTTCTTAAATATGCTGATTCTAACCGTGTATTAAGTTTTTGGATTTTGGGCCCCGTTTTTAAATTGGTCCACATTGAGGTCCAAAGGGTCCAAAATTAAACTTTGTTTGATTTCATCAAAAATTGAATTATTGGGGTTCTTTGATATGACGAATCTAACTGTGTATTTAAATTCTTAATTTTTGGTTCCGTTTTCAAGTTGGTCTACATTAAGGTCAAAAGGGTCCAAAATTAAACTTAGTTTGATTTTAAAAAAAATTGAATTCTTAGGGTTCTTTGATATGCTGAATCTAAACATGTATTTAGATTTTTGATTATGGGCCCAGTTTTCAAGTTGGTCCAAATCGGGGTCCAAAATTAAACTTTGTTTGATTTCATCAAAAATTGAATATATGGGGTTCTTTGATATGCTGAATCTAACCATGTATTTAGATTTTGGATATTGAACCATAATAGGTGAATGTCCAATTTAAAATTTTTAAGTTCTTAGACCACATTCATTCTGTCAGAAACCTATGCTGTGTCAAATATTTAATCACAATCCAAATTCAGAGCTGTATCAAGCTTGAATGTTGTGTCCATACTTGCCCCAACTGTTCAGGGTTCGACCTCTGCGGTCGTATCAAGCTTCGCCTGCGGAGCATTTTATTTTAATGTTGAAAACCCTATGTCTATGTTTGAAACTGTCAAACTCAGGGTAAACATCCTTATTAATTACTGAATACTTTTCCTGTTGATAACAGACAGTGCTCTCTTATCTAATAAAAAAATGAGCTAACGTTTAATCCCGCTGCAAATGTTTGCACCTGTCCTAAGTCAGGAATCTGATTACAGTAGTTGTCGTCTGTTTATGTAGTTCATACGTGTTGCTCATTTCTAGTTTTTATATAGATTAGACCGTTGGTTTTTCCCTTTGAATGGTTTTACACTAGTAATTTTTTGGGGCCCTTTATAGCTTGCTGTTCGGTGTAAGCCAATGCTCCGTGTTGAAGGCCGTACCTTGACCTATAATGGTTTACTTTTATAAATTGTAACTTGGATGGAGAGTTGCCTCATTGGCACTCATACCACATCTTCCTATATCTATTCACAAGAATAAAAGTAGATCAACCCTGGAAGTGAAAAGAGAAATTTTGTTTACTTGATTTTAATGAACATTAGGAATTGCTTAGACATGATTATTTGGTCTGTAAAATGGTAATACATTTTAATTTTGTATCTGTTAAACAATATATATCCACTTTTCTATTCAGTTTATTTATTATTATCAACTCCTTCATCTGTAAACCTCATCCTTAGCTTTTCTTCATAGAAGGAAAGTCTGAAAAATATAAAAAAATATATTCAACATTTTTTGTTATATGGGTATTTCATTATAAAGTATTTTTTTCCCATCGGTACCATTTTTTGTAAATTAATTGCTTCTTAACCATTTATTCTACTATTATGGGATGTTTCGCGACCTTGACAACCCATGATGGCCTCGCACAGTCAGCCATTAATTCTAATTGCCAATGAAATACAATAATTCCATTGATCAGGACATGTATTACATCTGCCTTTTCTAAGATCAAGAATTTAATAATCAATGAACCAATTGTTTGTAAACAGTTCATATTGCAATTGGTATCCACAATTGTACAATGTTTATTACAGCATCAAACCGTACATGTTTTAACCAATTTTTGTATAAATCAATACTCTTGCAGGTGGTCAATTATATTTTCATTTTATCAAGAGCTATTTTAAAAACTGAGAGGTGTTGAAAGCTAATCTGATAACTCGTGCGTCACCAGCCAATTACAACTAAGGAATAAATTGTGTTTTCCAAGACTAAATTATTTATCAGTACACATCCAATAGATTTAGTGTAAAGTTGTTATAAACAGTCTGTATAAAGCATGACCTTGTACAATGCAAAAATATACAGGATGGAGGACCATAAGTTTCCATAACTGTATAGTCTATAGAAGTACCTAATTTGGCTGGAGAACACATTTATTCCGTAGTGCATTTTTTTCAGACAATAAATGCAAATTTAAAAAATTACACCTGCTCTTTCTGTATAATATTTTTACTGTGTGGTGTACTACTTTTGGGACAAATTGTATCAAAATTATAGAAAATTCAGCAGCTCTTAATAAAAAAAAAATGGACAATTTTATGTTAAGGGGGTCTTGAATTCTTTTTCACAGTTTCAGACATATTCATTTCTTAACATTTTTTAACTGGACCAAATTACTTCTTTACTTTTGTATTCAGCATGTTCATGACCCAAATTTTTAACTGTGTTATTTCATCCCCCTACATGCGATTTGAGGCATAAAACATTAAGAGATAAATTGAGAAGGGATATGAAAAAATGTGTAAGTAATATACTGTCCACAATAGGAACTATATTTGTAGACAACACAAATCAAAGTACAATAACTTGACATGGGTCTTCTTTAAACTTATGGGCTATATAAAAAACATTACCCTGTGAATAGAATGTGATATCCTGTTTGTAATAAGGTTTCTATAAGTTGTTTACTAGTATTTGGAGATGCAATGCTCATCATACCAAACAAAGTGAGCGAGATTCTTGCCCTTGGATTCCTGATTTTGCCTGAAAAACAACTTCAAACCCAGTTTATGTCACCCTATATTTTCATGCTTAACAATTTTGACAATGTCTCTATAAAAATATTGCTAAAAATAATGCTTTCAAAAAGAAGTTTTTTACCCTGAATATTCAGTTAGGTCACCCTATTGAAATTTGCATATTTTGTTGAATCCCAGAATTGTCAAGGCACTCATCTGAATAAAAATATACATTTTTTGTTTGTTTTGAATAGATTTAATTCCTCCTTGAAGAATAATGATTTGATAACAGTAGTGAGAAAAATTACATATCTTTTCTAAATAGTTGATCAAAAGACACTGGAAGAAAGAGAAGCAATATCTGATTTCTGTTTTAAACATTTTAATGACTGAAAAAATCTAAATAAGTAATGTTTATAACTTCTTTGTAAATCAAAGGTTCTTTCATCTTTCCCCTGACACTGGCATGACCTCAGATTGAAACCAATATTTGACATCAATGATTTGAGGTTAATTGTTGTTTATCATGTTTTGTCAATGTGATTAATTATTACAAGCTGTATGTCATGTTTGAAAGACAATAACATATTTTTAAATATACTTGCATAAGAATTAAAAAAAAATCCTGAAATATTTAGCATATTGAAACTTGTATGAAGAGTTAACTTTTAGGGAGCATGTTATAATCAAGACAACTCACTTTGTCATAGAGAGGACATATTCTGTAAACTGTAGTGGGCCCTTGATAAAACTTGTACCCCTTTAATAGGTTTAAAGGGATGAAACTACAGAGCATACTAAAGCACATAGTGCTAGTTGATAAATTGGGTAAAGACTTTTGAATAATATTTTTTTTTGTGAACTTTTCAAAACAAAAACAATCCTGTACTATCCTGATACTGGTGTATATTGTGGTTTAACTAAAAATTAAAGTTTTATAGCTGGACCCCCTGTGTCCCCCTCTCTCTTGTTACTGTTGTAGTTTGTGGTTTAACTCAAGTTTGCCCCCCCCCCCCCCCCCTGTTACTGTTTAACTCAAGTTTAAAGTTTTACAGCTGTACCCCCTGTTACTGTTTAACTCAAGTTTAAAGATTTACAGCTGTACCCCCTGTTACTGTTTAACTCAAGTTTAAAGATTTACAGCTGTACCCCCTGTTACTGTTTAACTCAAAGATTAATGTTTTACAGCTGTACCTCCTGTTACTGTTTAACTCAAGTTTAAAGATTTACAGCTGTACCTCCTGTTACTGTTTAACTCAAGTTTAAAGATTTACAGCTGTACCCCCTGTTACTGTTTAACTCAAGTTTAAAGATTTACAGCTGTACCCCCTGTTACTGTTTAACTCAAAGATTAATGTTTTACAGCTGTACCTCCTGTTACTGTTTAACTCAAGTTTAAAGATTTACAGCTGTACCCCCTGTTACTGTTTTCAAGTTTAAAGATTTACAGCTGTACCCCCTGTTACTGTTTTCAAGTTTAAAGATTTACAGCTGTACCCCCTGTTACTGTTTTCAAGTTTAAAGATTTACAGCTGTACCCCCTGTTACTGTTTAACTCAAGTTTAAAGATTTACAGCTGTACCCCCTGTTACTGTTTAACTCAAAGATTAATGTTTTACAGCTGTACCTCCTGTTACTGTTTAACTCAAGTTTAAAGATTTACAGCTGTACCCCCTGTTACTGTTTAACTCAAGTTTAAAGATTTACAGCTGTACCCCCTGTTACTGTTTAACTCAAGTTTAAAGATTTACAGCTGTACCCCCTGTTACTGTTTTCAAGTTTAAAGATTTACAGCTGTACCCCCTGTTACTGTTTTCAAGTTTAAAGATTTACAGCTGTACCCCCTGTTACTGTTTTCAAGTTTAAAGATTTACAGCTGTACCCCCTGTTACTGTTTAAGTCAAGTTTAAAGATTTACAGCTGTACCCCCTGTTACTGTTTAACTCAAAGTTTAAAGTTTTACAGCTGTACCCCCTTGGCCATATTACTCTTGTAGTTTGTGATTTAAGTCAAGATTAAAGTCTTACAGCTGGAGACAATGACACGATGTCTGTTTAGGAGTGGTTGTTACTTGTGCACTTAACACAATTTTTTACCCTGATATAAACATACTAAGAATCACTTTATTTTCCTTAGCAGAAGGTCATTTATGTCTATACTAGAATATTTTGTATAAAAGAAAAGAAGGTTTAGAAGTGACACAGGCTGTTTATCAATAAATTTAATGTAATCTTTAAGTGGAATTGCACCACATTTTACTCCACATTTGTCATAATTAGGGCCCTGCCGAATGGCGGATGCCCTATAGGGATCAGTCTGTCCGTCCTTCCGTCTGTCCGTCTGTCTGTCTCACGGTCCGTCCGTCCGTTCGTAACAAATTGTGTCCGCTCTATATCTAGAGAACCGTTATGATTTCAAAGTTTATACTTGACATGTATATAAACCAACACCAGAGGGTGTGTAATAATTTATGTACAACTTCCTAGGTCAAAGGTCAAGGTCAAAAACTTTGGTTTCAGTTGACAACCCCATGTCCAATGATAAAGATACAAATTTTTTACCACACATTATTCACAGCGGGGCCCACAGAGATGGCTCCCATCTCAATGATATCTAGTTAATCTAAATATTTAATATTGGATTGTAACTTGGATGTATGGTCACATATAATGAGAGGCAGATCAGTAATAATATTGAGGCGCTATGTCCAAGGTCAAGGTCTAGTAATAAATAGACTGAAATTAGTACAAAAAAGGGGTTTCCAGATGGTAACTCCAGAACCTTAAATAGGATTGTAGCCTTACTTGGATATCTTTCACATATAATATGTCAAAGATCCTCATTCTTTTTTGGACAACTTTCCCCATGGTCAAGGTCAGTAATTACTAATAATAGATGGAAATCAGTGCAGAAAAAAAGGTGTTTCTAGATTATAACTCCAGAACATTACATCCTATTGCAGCGTTACTAGGAGATGTGGTCACCTATACGATGAGAGAAAGATACTTATTGATCTTTAGGTCACTACATCTAAGGTCAAGGTTATAGGTACTTAAAATAGACCAACATTAGTGTTAGAAAGGAGTTTCTTAAGAACTCAAGTAGTTTAAATTAAATTCCAACCAAACTTAAAAGATATGGTCAAATATAATGAATAGAAGATCATTCTACTTTTTATGATAATTGTGTCCAAGGTCAAGGTCATATGAATTAATAGAAATAGACTGAAATAAGTGCTGAAAAAAGGTTTCTAGATAATAAATCTTGAACCTAACATGGGATTTCAATGAGACATGCATAAAGGGTCACATGTATTGAGAGGATATTCATTATTGATTTTGAGATCATTGCTTACAGGTTCATGGTTAAAGCTACTAAAAATGAACTGAAATTGGTGCAGAAAGATGATATCTTGATAATTACCATTGATCCTAACACAGTAATGGAATTTGTAACCAAACTTTCTATATATATTCATATATTTAGACAATTAGAGGAGATCTCTATTGCTTTGAGGTCAATTTGTCAAGGTCATAGTTGTGTTTTCTTTTGGGGTCAGGGGGGTTAGACCAAATATATGCAGTCATGCAGTAATATGTCAGATTCAGATTGCTGAATTGGATTTTGCTGCAAACATTGCAGTGAGGACTTTCAACTGTTTCATATTTATTTTATAGTTATTATTTAAAGTAGAGTTTTCCTAAAGGTGATGATTTAGGTATCTGTTCAGGCAAGTTCTATGTTAATAAGGTATGGTAAGCTGGCAGTGTTGGATTATGTTTTCAGCATTCAATCAGTCAAATGTAATCCATGAAAGTAATAAAATAAAGTAAAACTAAATGCTGAATAATAGCACTGGAATTTAGATTGAGAGAGAAGAAATGTTTAACTGACCTTGTGAATAGGTTTATAACATTGACATCTGGACCTGTTACACCGAATCTTAGCTGCATCCTTGTATGGGATCACTGCCCACCGACCTGCAAACCGGCATACAATCGATGTTGGTGCCATATACCATTTTTTAACAGTTTTTAGAAAATCAACCTTCAATTCTCCACTGCTGTAAGGTTGAAAAACTAACCACAGAAACAAAATGGAGAAATATTTCATCTTAATCTGTGGAAGTACAAAGCTGTTACTGAGAAGTCTTTTTGATGAGGAATCCTTATATCTAACCAATCAGGTTTTATGGGACTTTTATGGATACTGAAATGAGCTACAAATTATTTCATTGTTGCCAAACATAGACTTATGTAGGAAATTCCAATATGCAATTATAGCATCAGAATAATGTCTATTCTGTAGTTATTAATCTGAGGTAATATCTCTACAAACATGTCCCCCTTTAGTTATTACTGAATAATTCAGTCATTAGTTATTGTCTCATCATCAGCACCCTAATATGTTACATATATGTCTGTATATAATGTGGTCTTGACATTTTATCCTATTAGACTTCTTCCTTTTACTTTATCTAATTTATCAGACATTTACACTATTGTTTCAGAAAAAGGGTGAAGGTTTGGTATCATTAAAACGTTTAAACCAGCTGCAATTGTTTGCACCTGTCTTAAGTCAGGAATCAGATGTTCAGTAGTTGTCGTTTGTTGATGTGGTTCATAAGTATTTCTCGTTTCTCGTTTTTTATATAGATTAGACTGTTGGTTTTCCCGTTTGAATGGTTTTACACTAGTAATTTTTGGGGCCCTTTATAGCTTGCTGTTCGGTGTGAGCCAAGACTCCGTGTTGAAGACTATACTTTGACCTATAATGGTTTACTTTTATAAATTTTGACTTGGATGGAGAGTTGTCTCATTGGCACTCATACCACATCTTCTTATATCTATTTAAGGTCTTTTTAGACCTGATGCTGTCAAAGTGATGTTATAGTGATAAATAGTGACAAAAATAAAATGCAGTGCATCTCTTAATAGATAAATATAATGGATAATCTTTTCTTCCTAACTCCTAATATCTTGCATAACCTTACATGTATTAAGAGTGTTACAGTCTGGTCTTACCAGGGTAAACCTTATACAAACATTCTGACATATAATATTAAATCATAACCTTGCCTGTATAAAGATTGACACAGTCTGATCTTACCAGGGTAAACCTTATACAAACATTCTGACATATAATATTAAATCATAACATTGCCTGTATAAAGATTGACACAGTCTGATCTTACCAGGGGAAACCTTATACAAACATTCTGACATATAATATTAAATCATAACCTTGCCTGTATAAAGAGGGACACAGTCTGGTCTTACCAGGGGAAACCTTATACAAATATTCTGACATATAATATTAAATCATAACGTTGCCTGTATAAAGAGTGACACAGTCTGGCCTTACCAGGCGAAACCTTATACAAACATTCTGACATATAATATTAAATCATAACGTTGCCTGTATAAAGAGTGACACAGTCTGGCCTTACCAGGCGAAACCTTATACAAACATTCTGACATATAATATTAAATCATAACGTTGCCTGTATAAAGAGTGACACAGTCTGGCCTTACCAGGCGAAACCTTATACAAACATTCTGACATATAATATTAAATCATAACCTTGCCTGTATAAAGATTGACACAGTCTGATCTTACCAGGGGAAACCTTATACAAACATTCTGACATATAATATTAAATCATAACGTTGCCTGTATAAAGAGTGACACAGTCTGGTCTTACCAGGGGAAACCTTATACAAACATTCTGACATATAATATTAAATCATAACCTTGCTTGTATAAAGAGTGTTACAGTCTGGTCTTACCAGGGGAAACCTTATACAAACATTCTGACATATAATATTAAATCATAACCTTGCCTGTATAAAGAGTGACACAGTCTGGTCTTACCAGGGGAAACCTTATACAAACATTCTGACATATAATATTAAATCATAACGTTGCCTGTATAAAGATTGACACAGTCTGGTCTTACCAGAGGAAACCTTATACAAACATTCTGACATATAATATTAAATCATAACGTTGTATGTATAAAGATTGACACAGTCTGGTCTTACCAGGGGAAACCTTATACAAACATTCTGACATATAATATTAAATCATAACCTTGCCTGTATAAAGAGTGACACAGTCCGATATTACCAGGGGAAACCTTATATAAATATTCTGACATATGATATTAAATCATAACGTTGCCTGTATAAAGAGTGACACAGTGGTCTTACCAGGGGAAACCTTATATAAACATTTTGACATATAATATTAAATCATAACGTTGCCTGTATAAAGAGTGACACAGTGGTCTTACCAGGGGAAACCTTATACAAACATTCTGACATATAATATTAAATCATAACCTTGCCTGTATAAAGAGGGACACAGTCTGGTCTTACCAGGGGAAACCTTATATAAATATTCTGACATATGATATTAAATCATAACGTTGCCTGTATAAAGATTGACACAGTCCGGTCTTACCAGGGGAAACCTTGTACAAACATTTTGACATATAATATTAAATCATAACGTTGCCTGTATAAAGAGTGACACAGTCTGGTCTTACCAGGGGAAACCTTGTACAAACATTCTGACATATAATATTAAATCATAACCTTGCCTGTATAAAGATTGACACAGTCTGGTCTTACCATGGGAAACCTTATACAAACATTCTGACATATAATATTAAATCATAACCTTGCCTGTATAAAGAGTGACACAGTCTGGTCTTACCAGGGGAAACCTTATACAAACATTCTGACATATAATATTAAATCATAACCTTGCCTGTATAAAGATTGACACAGTCTGATCTTACCAGGGGAAACCTTATACAAACATTCTGACATATAATATTAAATCATAACCTTGCCTATATAAAGAGTGACACAGTCTGGTCTTACCAGGGGAAACCTTGTACAAACATTCTGACATATAATATTAAATCATAACCTTGCCTGTATAAAGAGTGACACAGTCTGGTCTTACCAGGGGAAACCTTGTACAAACATTCTGACATATAATATTAAATCATAACCTTGCCTGTATAAAGATTGACACAGTCTGATCTTACCAGGGGAAACCTTATATAAATATTCTGACATATAATATTAAATCATAACCTTGTGTATAAAGAGTGTTACAGTCTGGTCTTACCAGGGGAAACCTTATACAAACATTCTGACATATAATATTAAATCATAATGTTGCCTGTATAAAGATTGACACAGTCTGGTCTTACCAGGGGAAACCTTATATAAATATTCTGACATATAATATTAAATCATAACCTTGTGTATAAAGAGTGTTACAGTCTGGTCTTACCAGGGGAAACCTTATACAAACATTCTGACATATAATATTAAATCATAACGTTGCCTGTATAAAGATTGACACAGTCTGGTCTTACCAGGGGAAACCTTGTACAAACATTCTGACATATAATATTATATCATAACCTTGTATGTATAAAGATTGACACAGTCTGATCTTACCAGGGGAAACCTTATACAAACATTCTGACATATAATATTAAATCATAACCTTGCCTGTATAAAGAGTGACACAGTCTGATCTTACCAGGGGAAACCTTATACAAACATTCTGACATATAATATTAAATCATAACGTTGCCTGTATAAAGATTGACACAGTCTGATCTTACCAGGGGAAACCTTATACAAACATTCTGACATATAATATTTAATCTTAACCTTGTATGTATAAAGAGTGACACAGTCTGATCTTACCAGGGGAAACCTTATACAAACATTCTGACATATAATATTAAATCATAACGTTGCCTGTATAAAGAGTGACACAGTCTGATCTTACCAGGGGAAACCTTATACAAACATTCTGACATATAATATTAAATCATAACGTTGCCTGTATAAAGAGTGACACAGTCTGATCTTACCAGGGGAAACCTTATACAAACATTCTGACATATAATATTAAATCATAACGTTGCCTGTATAAAGAGTGACACAGTCTGATCTTACCAGGGGAAACCTTATACAAACATTCTGACATATAATATTAAATCATAACGTTGCCTGTATAAAGAGTGACACAGTCTGATCTTACCAGGGGAAACCTTATACAAACATTCTGACATATAATATTAAATCATAACCTTGCCTGTATAAAGATTGACACAGTCTGATCTTACCAGGGGAAACCTTATACAAACATTCTGACATATAATATTAAATCATAACCTTGCCTGTATAAAGATTGACACAGTCTGATCTTACCAGGGGAAACCTTATACAAACATTCTGACGTATAATATTAAATCATAACGTTGCCTGTATAAAGAGTGACACAGTCTGATCTTACCAGGGGAAACCTTATACAAACATTCTGACATATAATATTAAATCATAACGTTGCCTGTATAAAGAGTGACACAGTCTGGTCTTACCAGGGGAAACCTTATATAAATATTCTGACATATAATATTAAATCATAACCTTGTATGTATAAAGAGTGTTACAGTCTGGTCTTACCAGGGGAAACCTTATACAAACATTCTGACATATAATATTAAATCATAACGTTGCCTGTATAAAGAGTGACACAGTCTGATCTTACCAGGGGAAACCTTATACAAACATTCTGACATATAATATTAAATCATAACCTTGTATGTATAAAGAGGGACACAGTCTGATCTTACCAGGGGAAACCTTATACAAACATTCTGACATATAATATTAAATCATAACGTTGCCTGTATAAAGAGTGACACAGTCTGATCTTACCAAGGGAAACCTTATACAAACATTCTGACATATAATATTAAATCATAGCCTTGCCTGTATAAAGATTGACACAGTCTGGTCTTACCATGGGAAACCTTATACAAACATTCTGACATATAATATTAAATCATAACGTTGCCTGTATAAAGAGTGACACAGTCTGATCTTACCAGGGGAAACCTTATACAAACATTCTGACATATAATATTAAATCATAACGTTGCCTGTATAAAGAGTGACACAGTCTGATCTTACCAGGGGAAACCTTATACAAACATTCTGACATATAATATTAAATCATAACCTTGTATGTATAAAGAGTGACACAGTCTGATCTTACCAGGGGAAACCTTGTACAAACATTCTGACATATAATATTAAATCATAACGTTGCCTGTATAAAGAGTGTTACAGTCTGATCTTACCAGGGGAAACCTTATACAAACATTCTGACGTATAATATTAAATCATAACCTTGCCTGTATAAAGA